AACTGTAAAAAATGTAAGGTTTTGTTTTGATGTACCTGGGAGGCACTGAGGTCTGATGGGATTCAAATGCCCATTCACCTTTTCACTTTAGGCACAACTTAGTGCATGTTAAATCCACTTTTTTTTTTTTTTTTTTTTCCGTAGAATCGAGGCCCGTTTTGGCTATAGTAGGGAAAATTGAAGTTTCAGTTTATGATTCTGACCCCACTGGAGACTTTTTCAAACATGGTCAAAATGTATGTTTCTCTGTGTCTGCGTTGGAGATCTCTCCCATCGCTTTCTGCCCTGGTCTTTTAAGGTTTACTTAAGTCAGAGTTGAGATCTAAACGTTTAAGTGACTTGTTTGCTAAACTTTATTCTGTCAGTCAGACCCCATTCACACTTGATTTGGAATCGCAGGGAAAATCACCTAGTTTCTGCCCAGCAATCCCTGCACAACACTCTAAATGCAGCACACAGCAGGATCATGCGGTAATCATAGCAAAACCTTTTAAAATGTAGCAAAGGTAATCACCCAAAAAGGAGCAGGAGCTTCTTTTGGGCAACAAAAAGGAATGGGCTGCAGGAACGTGGCTTCCCGCTATGTGATATATGAATGGGGCTTTAAAGCTGTACTTGTTAGGAATAATTGTAATGATCTATTTCTTCTGTGATCAACAGGTTTTGCTGGCTGGAGTCTGTGCAGAATCTGACACTTTTGGGAGTGTCTAAATGTAGTAGAAAAACACCTGCTGTATTTCACCAAGGTGGTGAGCGTTCGGTGCACTGACTTGCAGTGTCCTCCAAACATGTAGATGAAAGAAATCGGCAGCTCGATCTTCCACAGTAAATACATTTATTAATCCAGGTGTGGTGCAAAATACAGGGGCTTGCGTCTTTTGGTGTGTAGCCTTAGGCAGAGCCAATGGGTGAAATGCATAAGCCCTGTATTTTGTACCACTCCTAAATTAATCCCATTTATTGTGGAAGATGGAGCTTCCGGCTTTCTTTCATCTTCATTTCGGGAGTGTCTCTCCATATGCTTACCACATTCTTTTTCATTCTTTTAACATAATGGAACCCTTGAAATAACGTTCCAGTGTTCATTTTCATTCACACGGTCTTAGTACAATGTACACACGCACTAGGCTAGTGTTTACCTGCACGGGAATGCACAGGTCTTCATGTCAATTGGGACACAGTGACTGCATGGATACAGCTGCTGTTCCCAATTTCACAGCCATGTGGGTATGGGTGCACTGTCCCGAATGCACTTTGACTGCATTTGGGGCCGTGCACCCACACCTGTACAGTTTTTAATCTGGAAACAGCAGCTGTGCCTGTGCTGGCACTGTGTCCCAATAGACATGAATGGAACTGCCTGTCAAACATTTCTGAAAAGCGATCCGAACATGGATAGTTTTTCAGAGGATCATCAGTCCATGCTGCACATATGAATGAGCCCTTAGCCTGTGGTTGCACTGACTTGCTTCCTTTCCCAATAAAAGACATCACGACAATTTGGACACAGCTAACGAGGGCTTTTTTTCCCGTGGGAACGCGCGGTTCTGTGGCACATATATGTAATGGCAAGGGAGGCTGCGCTGGAGGGTCTATGCATGATGGGGATCTATTGTGACTGGAGGGGATCTATTTTTGCATATGGTCTACTTTTGCTGGGGAGGTCTATTGTTGCTGGAAGGGATCTACTTTTAAGGGAGATGGCTATTGTTGCTGGAGAGTCTATTGATGCTGGCAGATCTGTTGTTGCTGCTGGGGTCTATGGTTGCTGGGGTGATATTTTGTTGCCGGGGTCCATTGTTCCTGGGGGGATCTATTGCTGCTGGCTGGCTGCGGGGGATCTATTTTACTGGTTTTCTTATTATCATTTACAAATTCCATACAAATTACTTAGCACCACAAAATAATACTTGGTTCTCTATTCCCTACAAGGAGCGGTACTGGGAGGTGGGTAGGGGTGGATCCAAGGGACTTTTCTTGGAGGTGGGTAGGGGGGTGGAGACCAGAACTGATTCAGAAGGGGAGAGTTCCTGCACCTACTGTCTGAGGAAAAAAAAAAACCCTGCGCGTCACAATAAATATTTCACAGGAGTTTTATTCCTTCCCCATTCTGTTCAAAACAAAAAGTTTATTCTGCAAAGATGCCTTGCCTACTTTTATTTTCCATAAAGCTTCTTAAAAAACCCAGATTATTAGGAATACCTGCACTCATCCTTTCCTCTTTGATCTTGAGCAAAATAATGCATGTTCTTGTCAAAGCGAATAATTTGTGTTCTCGTCAGTGAAAATCAATAAGTAATTTTCTGCCGTTCTCTTTCATGGGTGGTTGGGCAGAGCTGTTCTTACAATGCGAATATTTACATTGCGGCTTTCAAGTGAGTCTTGTGGTTCCATATTTGAGCCTTTGATTGGAATTTAATGGCCCTGCGCTTTCATCTTATTGCGCTAGACGTAGACAGAAATTGAAAATCCCATCACAGTTTTATCTGCTGTCATTTGCGATGTGAGGTCACAATATATTCCCATTGTGTGAGCAGGTATAACCAAATCACTTAGAGCTTTTCACCTGCGGTAACCCCTTTTGACTTACCGTATTATGTACACACAGCTTGGCACTTACAGAATCGATCACTACTGGGCTTGTGCAAGAAGAGCTGAAATTCAAGCAGATTTCAAAGACAGCAATGAATTACGCTCTGTATTCATTAATACATCATTACATTTTTTTTTTTTTTTTTTAATGCAAGCAGTTTAAGTACCTGAGTTTGATGTTGTAGCAGCCTGTTACAATCTCTGTACTGCAGAGCTCAGGCAGGGAGAGGGTGAAGCAGCACAAGGATCCAATCCATTAATTTGCTGGCAAACAGCATGTTAATAGGAGACATGTTGAGCAGAATGACAGAGATGAGTCATCAGTTTGCTGCTTCTCTTTTCACTGTCCAGTTAATAGTTGGAGAGAACCTATATGTACAGGAGAGAAAATTCAGGTTTTCTGCTATGCTAGACAAGGCTTTTGCTGTGTGGCAGAGCAGTATAAATCTCAGTAGGTGATGGACCGAAATACAAATCCTTTGGTGGGAAGGCAGATCCGTTGTATATATTTTTTTATGTGTGTTAATCTGTATGCCTGGAGATCAACTTTAACGCTGAAATTCGGGATAAGTACATATTGCCTAAATACAGGAGCAGGGATGTGCAATTCCTATAGCCCAGTGCCCGGGAGATGCAGTTATGGGCACCGGGCAAGAGGTTTTTCTTTACATTTAGCCCTGCTGCGGGCAAACAGCAGGGTTTACAGTTGGCTCTCTTGTAAAAGAAATCCAAGCGGCTAACTAGCCATTGGATCTCTTTTGCAAGCAGTGGGTTGGGACATCTCCCCTTCCGAGGGCTGTCTCATCGCACCAGGACACCTGATCAACCATCTGGCGGTTCCGCCGGCTGATCATAAAGGCAGACAAAGACTGGAACTGCTCTGTTCGCCTCTATGATATAGAAAACAGGAAGCGTTGAGCATACATAACTTATGATTTCTCCTATGTAAATGGCGCCATTTTTAAAAATAGAATGCTTTTGATCACAACGATTTAAGGGCAGAGGAGCGATCTTCGGTCTTATTGATACCAGATCGCTTGATAAAGAGCACCTGTCACTGCCTATTGTTGTCACAAGGGATGTTTACATTCTTTCTGACAGCAATAAAAGTGATCAAAAAAGAAAAAAAATAAAGCAACAGTGTTTAAATAATAAAAAGTTTATAAATTTTTTTAAAACACCCCCTTCCCCGCTCACAAAGGTGAACACGCTTCAGTTCCGCACATACACAAACCGCAATCTTCCCACACATGATGTATCACTGAGAACGTCAGATCATGGGCAGTAATCCTAGCACCAGACCTTCTCTGTAAAGGCTGTGAAAAAAGCCACCTATGGATAGTAAAATTTAGTTTAGTATTGTGTTTTTTTTTTTTTTTTTTTGCATTCAAATTCAAAAGAGTGTATTTTTTTTAATTCTGTTTGAAAAAACACTGTGTAAACACTGCGTTACATAAAAAAAATTGCAAAACCCACCAATTTATTCTCTAGGGCCTCTGCTTTAAAAAAAAATATATGTTTGGGGGTTCTAAGAAACTTTCTATCAGTTTAAGTTGGCCTAAAGCCCCTTTCGTTTTTAAAAGCACCTCTGCCTAATAAAAACATCAACCCTTACATCCTGGCAATTGTTTTTTTTTTTTATCAGGACAAGTAGATTGTTATGAGGGACAAGTAAACTGGACCCCTAGTTTATAAAGTTTTTAAAAAAAAATTCACACCCCTGAGGAGGCATGTATATTCTTACTGGAATCTTGGTGTGCTTTGTTATTTCTTCAAGATCTGTGCAGTAATTCAGTGTAGAACTTTGCAGGAGCTTCCTGTAATACAGACCAATCACTGCTGCTCTCTCTCCTTGTGCAGGGTGACTGGCCTTGTCTCTGCCCCCTCCTGTAGTATTCTGTAGGCAGCCTGTAGTGGGTGGAGCCTGTTGGGCCCCTCCTACAGCTCTGCTCAGGCTACGTACAGCACAGTGATGATGTCACTACTACTTTTATATGGTAATATCTAGGTTTGCAAAGCCATTTGGTACACACAGAGTAGATTTGTATGGTTTGTGGCTATTGAAGAAAATATTTAAACAAAAGATTCTTGTGCTCGGAATTCACCTTTTTAAAGCAATCCTATTGAAATGTATAGTTAAAGGCCACTAAGAATGCGTTCAGTTATCACAAAACAAACATTTTTTATGATACTGTTCCTTCTCACCTTTTTTCAAATATTACAATGGTCTGTACTTATGGATTACACAGTAAAGATCTACAGTGGCTAAGCACTGCCAGTGGATAATGATTACCTGATACAGTGAAACATTTTCCATAAATGCATTGTCTGGTTCATTGCGTTGTGTCTTTATGCTGCTTTTGCTGTTATGTATGTTTTAATTTTCCCTGTAATTCTGCTTTTTACAGTCCAGAGCTGTCATCTCTTCTTCTCCTGGAGGTGTGACGTTCCAGAAATGTGCAACAGTGAGTGTCAATGTAATAATATGCAACATTTCTTACACATCCCATGTTTTATAAGTGTCAGAAAAATGCACTAAGGCTTTATATGCCTGGGTCCGTATGATGCAAAATTCCAGAGTATTTCCCCGCCCAGGAACCATAGGGATGGCGTGCAGGGGTGTACATCTGTACGCATATGCCTTTTTGCACAAGTACCCGCTCATACCCCTGTAGTACCCTCCTAGGTAGGGTTAGATAGATGGGATTAGTTATGTTTTGATAGGTACATTTAGATGTCACTCTGTAGGCAAAGTGACTCTAATTTGTTGCTAAAAGCATAGCTAGCTCACTGTAATGAGTGAGTTGTGATCATTTAGTGAGGCCTGCTCTATGTGCTCAGGAGCTGCTAGTCTGCCTATAGCTTCCTCTGTGTCCAGGAGACTGCAGAAGTTTCTGGATGTTAGGTGTGGAGCTATGCAGATGGCAGCATGAATATTGATACAACCTCAGCTTATCCCAGAGAGAGGGGCTCCACGGCATAAGGCATGCTGGGTAACTGTGTATATATAGTGAGCACACGGGGCACTGAGTCTATCCTGGCTAGGATTGCCCAAGCCTGGGAGAGGCAGTTACTGCCGTGGGCCTCAGTGGGCTTCTGCTATGCTAATTGAAAGGCTGCCTCCTGAAGATCTGGTCTGGTATCACGAAGGAAGGCGTCCAGTTGCTCTCAAGCTTTGTGAGTACAGACATCCCTAAGGATCTTAGAGACTCCATGCTCTTTAACCCCCTCTGGTGCTAGGAAGTCAGCTCCAGCTATTGTTTCCAAGAGTGTTGGCCATGTGCCCACTACTATTTAAAGTAGATCTATAGGCAAAATTTTTTTAAAATTCTGGATAGAGCAAGGGCGGGTTATAACCCATGAGATGTTTTCCACCATCTGTTTCCCAGTATGGAGATTTTCTTCACTTCCTGTCCCATAGCTAAACAGGAAGTGAGAGGAAATCCCTGCAAAATTAAGGGAATTTCTTGGGAACTCCCAGGTCACCAGAACTAGTGTCCCCATTGGAAGATTTTCCCTCTATTACTTTTCTGGGGACAACCCAAAATTTGGGATTTTCTTTTAGTTTCACTTCCAATAATTATGGTAAACAGGACAAATAGAGAGGGTGAATCCCCCTAATGGGGACACAGACAGCAATAAAAACTGACAAGGCTTCTAATCCCCCTCCACTCTATCCAAAAAATGTATTGCCTTTAGTTTTACTTAAAGGGACACCGCTTTGGAGCTCTAAAGAAGTTACTGCTGTTACTCCTACTACATGTTGCTACTGCTTAAAGCTGAAGACCATTGTCTGATTGAAGCACAGACTCGGGTATAGCTTGTTCTGTAGATTAGACAAAGTCCTTGGTGTACATAGTTCCTAATCTGGAGTATCCCACTCATCTCCCTCATACCTCAACACCCCTAAGCTGATTATTGGAGACACAAGTGAATGAGCCTTTGTGCCTGACCGCGGGGCAAGGTATTTAGGGAGGACGTGGACTGTATACCTGCGCCTTCTAGGGGAGTAGCGATACACCCACGTACAGCTACTGATTTCTATATGTAGTTGTATGCAGCACCTGTGGCTCCTCGGTGGGGAAAGAAGCCTGAATCATAGGGCCCCAGGTGCTAATGTGCATGAGGCCTTTTGGTCCAAAGTTTTGGACACCTGATCATTACCAATAATTTGGAACTGAGGGAGTGGCTTGGAGGAGCTACAAAACATCTTCAACTTTACAGAACAAGTAGTCCTAGTTGAATGCATTTACTATCCTGACCATCACACCTGCTATATGGCCAAAAGTATGCAGACAACTCCCCAAATTATTGAGTTAATATGTTCTATGGTACTGTTATTGCTACATCATAGACATTTTATACAATTGTGTACTTCCAACCCAAAGAGGAACAGCAGTTTGGGCAAAGGCCCTCTACTGTGATAAAATCTGGAGTTTAGCTTTGACCTTAGCCCAACCCCTAAACCTATGCCTCAGTAAAACCATTAAAGGATAGGTACTTTTTAAGACAAAGTACAGCTGACCTGACCTAACCTAATCCACCCTTCCCTCCAGAGATGCATATTTTCCTTCATCTGATGGTCATGATCTGTGATGTTAGTTTACATCAGGTGCCGCAGGTCTGTGGGGCTGTAATGCACAGGCGCAGCCAGCAGAATGAGAATTATGCCGGATGTAAAAAAACACCAGAGTCCATGACCGTCAGATTGAGGTAAGTAAGCATCTGTGGTGAGAGAGGGTGACTTAGGTTGAGTCAGGGCAAAGGAGCACAAAAGGATAAGTGCACTTGGTCTTAATTTACACTCAGGGGTGGACTGACAACTCATGGGGCCCCTGGGCAATTGGGGATCATTAGGCCCCTGTGTCCTTGCCCACACTTAAAACACACCCAAATAAGCCTATAAAAGGTACCAGGGACATTTTATTGGGCCCCCTACTGACCTCGGGCCCTCGGGCAGTGCCCGAGTGCTCGAATGGTGAGTCTGCCCCTGTTTGCACTTATCCTTTAATATAGGCCTTCAGGGTCAGTTCACACTATAGAAACGCGTTCCGGATGTGTTTCTGCATGTGCGTTTTTGACGCTTTCGGTTCGTTTTTGACGCGTTCCAGCTAATTTTTTCCCCTCTCTTTTTCTTCAATTTAAATAGGGAAATGTGTGTTCCAGTGCATTTTGGTTCCTTCCGGTGCGTTTTTGATACATTTTACCGCATTCTAATACAGTTCTTTGCAGGAAAAATGCAGCATATTCTATTTTTTTTCTGGAACTGCAAGCGCTGATGTGAACTATGACATTGACAACCATATAACCTAAATAAACAAATAGAAAAATGCAGCACAACAATATATATACAAAATATAGTGCTAAACAATAAATTTGTGCAAAAACAAACGACTATGCTTGTGAAAATCAATGTGTGCTATACCAGACGTCTGATTAATACATACTATAGGACTCCATAAACTGCACATAACCAGTGCTCTAAATGAATTGTGCACACGAATTGTCCTTAATAGTGAACTGTCCCTTTTAAGTCTTGAATATCAGCACCAATTGAGTGTTGGAAGTGGATGAGCACTAAGGGGTGACACAGGAGCACTGCACACGTGTATTCAGTAGTGTGTTACACTGGTCTATTTAAAGTACAGCGGATTTAAAGGGACGGTTCACCATTTTTTGAGACTATATTCCGATGACACTTCTAGTTGGTGCATGTGGATCACGATTTATGGGATATATACCACACAAGTCCATGTGCTGATATTCAAGATTTAAAGGGACAGTTCTCTATTAAAGAGAATTATTTGTGTGCACAATTCATTTAGAGCACTGGTTATGTGCAGATTATGGAGTCTTATATGTATGTATTGATTAGACGTCTGGTATAGCACACATTGATTTTCACAAGCAATGTTGTTTGTTTTTGCACAAATTTATTGGTTAGCAGTATATTTTGTATATATATTGTTGCGCTGCATTTTTCTATTTGTTTATTTATGTTGTACATGTGGGAACACATTATATGGTAGCCGCACAGGTTTTTTTAGGAGGTCCATAGCGTTGAGGGTTTTCTATATATACATAACTATATAACCTACCTTCTGTGCATTTTGGATGCAGAAAAAAAGCAAACTGAAATGCATGCAGTATGAACCGGCCTTGAGGGCCAGTTCACACCATAGAAACACAGTCCAGATGCGTTCCAGATTAATTTTTGCATGCGCATTTTTGACACATTTTTGGTGCTTTCCGGTGCATCTCTGATGCATTTTTGACATGTTTCGGTGCATTTTTGATGCGTTCTGGTTAATTTTTACCCCTCTCTATTTCTTCAGTTGAAATAGGGGCATGTGTCTTACAGTGCCTTTTTGTGCTTTTTTGATGTGTTTTACGGTGTTCCAGTACAGTTCCGTGCAGAAAAATGCAGCCTGTTCTGCTTTGTTTTTTGCAACCGGAACGCACTGGAACTTCAAGCACTGATGTGAACTATGACATTGACAACCATATAACCTAGTTTCTTTGTGTTTTTGGATGCAGAAAAAAGCACACTGAAACGCATGTAGTGTGAACTGGCCCTAAAAGTAAAAGTTAAAATAAACCCACCAACAAACCTAACCTGAACGTAGCTCCATAAACCCAAAAGTAACTTAATAGGTATAAAAAAAAAGGCTAATAAAATTGTACTAGGATATTGATTGTTGCACCAATGTACGGTTTTTGCTGCAACATGCAATGTGCTTACACATCTAGAGTCCAGAATAACATGTCAAAAACAATCAATCTGTGTCTAACAGTATTTTCCCCTTTTCCCCTTACTGCTTAAGGCCAAGGAACAAAGAGAGATAGGCTTGGCACATTGTACCCAAGCAGAGTTAAAAGCTCAAATTTAATAAAGGCTTCCAAACAAATATTATGAAGTCAGTAAACACCACAATCATAGAGGGTTTAAAGGGTCAGTCCATCCAATATAGTTATAGGTGGAGCCTGGTGAGCTGTGTAAGCCTCTGGCTTCCTTTTAAACCTTGGATATTTCAGTTCTGAGATTCACTGCAATCATTCGAGGCTCTGCATCTTTCCATCATAGTGTCTTACAACACCTCATTTTTAATATGTGTAATATAAAATAAACGGTCTCCATCTCCAGCAGGGTGATTGGAACCCTTTATAATGACCACAGCAGGTGCGCAGATCTAGGAACTCAAGCAACAAAGATCTTGTTAATAGTGTCTCTGAGAGGTATGAAAATTCGGTTGTTTAACTCTTCAGCATCTACCAAAAAGTGAAATATCAGTTTTGAGTGGGCTTACCCATTAAATTCAAAATAATATTCTATAAAATATTAATGCGGTGCTCAAACTCAAACAAAATGATTTTCAAAGTATAAAGAAACACATGAAAAGTCCAAATAATTCAGTCCTTTTTATAATCACCACGTGAAGTTACTTCATAATCATATTCCAATAAT